TGTTACATTATCATTTTGAGTCAGAAATGAGACTTGGTGCCAGACCTTCCCAATGGGCAAACACAAACAAAGAAAAAACAGGCTGACATTGAAATGGTTTCCTGTAGATAAGTAGGGGGAAATCAATAGCAATGATAAGTTTTGGAAGGCCTTGAATGCTAGGATAGAGTTTGGACTGTATTAAGTAGCCAAGGTGGAGTCACTGAAACTATTTGTCCAGTGAAGTGACCTGACAGAAGCAGTATTTAAGGAAAATTAACCAAGGACCACAGACTTTGAGTGTGAATAAATAAAAGCAGTATTTTATATGTATCTGAATTTAGAGCAATTATTTAGAAAGGAAAACTTGTTTTAATGATCTCATTTCATATATTTAAGTTTTGAGAGGTAAGTGACCAGGTTTCATTTTCGTTTGTCACAAAGAAGAGAAAAGTGAGGTACGGACACATAAAGTGAAATGAGCAATGAGTCAGCTGCAGAAATCTGATTCCTCATATTTTCTAACATTGAAAACATTTTTCCAATATTTTAAATTGTCTTAATGTAGAACAGATTTGATAATTGCAATTCAGATTAATATTAGATAGATAAAATAGTTTGTTTATTTTCTCTTTTTGCTGCTACATTAGTTTTTTTTTTTTTACATAGTTGGTACTCATGCACGTTATCAACAATTGATGGATCAGTCAGAAGCCAGAATCTTTTACATTTCTTTAGGTGACTGATCCAATGGTGAGGGGGGTGTCATTAAAGAGGAAAAACAACCATGTATTAACTTACTTTTGTAGCCCTAAAAAAGGGGAAAATATTCATTTTACAAAATGTAGAATATAACATTTTATTCTATGAAATGAAGAAATAAAATAAAACACAATGTCTCCAGCTCTCTATTTTAATCCTAGAAGGGAGAGGGCACAGAGAAAGGGAAGAGAAAGAAAGAGAGAGTAAAATAGAAGCAGAGATAAAAGACAGAAAAAGTCATGGAAAGACTCATTACAAGCAGTTCACTCTCTATCAAACACAATGTCCAAACCTTCTCCCAGAAGAATTTTTTAAACATAAAAATGAGTTGGTTTGTCTTCTTTCAGATGAAGGCAATTAATCCACCTCCCCCATTTTAAAATTTTGGTGGTAATTCAAACAAATATAAAGTCAGCTCTGTCAGTCCAATTATTATTTTTCATCTATCAAACATATCTCTCTGATTTTCTTCTTTTCATTTATTATCTTGACTTTTATTTTCATGTCATATACCCTATCAGATTTTAAGCTTGTGACATGTAGACATAGTATAATACATTATTGTTTTCTTGTTTGTTTATTTTCATATATGTTGCTAAAATAGTTCATAGAATGCCAGAGCTAGATGGAAATATAAAAGTCATCAGATTTTGGCTGCTCATTTATGACATGCAGGGAAAAATGCAGAGAGGGGAGGCCAATGAATCCACAGCTAGTTAATAAGAAAGCTAAAGCAGGCTAGGTACCAGGATTCCTGGCTTAAACTCCAGTTTTCCTTCCATTGAACCACACAGCACCACTAAATGTTTAACACTTGACATTGAATGAATTTATCAGTTAGGACTGATTTTTTTCCCCTTTTCAAGACTACTAAAGTAAAGGAAGAAAAAACAAACCCGTAAGTCAGTGGTCAGAGAGGACATTTCTTGTATATCATAGTACAACATTTCACCTTTCATTGTTGTTACTTCTGTCATGAGTAGAATCCTGTGAGGTACAGGCAATTATCTGATCTAGAATGACAAGTCCCAGGAAGCATGAGGGCTAATAAACCAATGGGACTCTCATATACTATTGCCTCCCTATTGACTCCTTGTCAATTCCATCACACAGATACTTCCCATTTCATGAGGTCCTACAGCATTCATGGACTGAATATGTCACACTCGATTCTCAAATATGCCCTCTTTTGTCTTGTTCTCTCTTGCTTTATATGTTTAAATTTCTTAAGGTAGTCCAAGATTACATTAGCTTCATACGTTGCCATATCACACTCATAATATATTGTAAGATCAATAGCAGTCAATTATAATAAGGAAATAAAAAATAGATAATGTGATCTTTGGTTGAGGTACAGATTTTCCAGGGCTAAGGAGGTGCCAGTTCCTCTCTACTCTCCATGGGAGAAGAAAATATGGTTTATTTTGCTCTATTCTGCATTCCAACCTTTGTTCAAGAATATCAATAAATTGAAAAGTATCCAGAGCAGGAAAAATAGTATATGAAAGAGGTTGGAATTCATAAAAATAAAAAAAAAGTTGAAAAAATTAAGAAAACTCAAATGTAAAGGAGATTGACTTCGTTATTAGAATGATAGTCACTTAGAAAAGGAAGTAGGTTTTCACTTTTTCCTTAAAGCATAAAACTAGGTAGCGTGAGTAGAAGCCCCAAGGAGGCAAATTCAGCCTTGATGCAAGGGAAAAAGAAATAAAACCATCAATGAACAAGGAACACACTTTCTAATGATTACAGCTCTCAGAACCTTGAATGAGATACCTCAGGAATTAGTAGGTTCATGCTAATTATAAGAAAGGCAAGAAGAACATTCATTATGTGTAACAGGAATTATTTTGAGGTTAGAGATGAGAATTCATGTCAAATAAAATTCTTTCCGACTTTGAAATTCTGTAATTCCATATCTTGTCTTCCCTTTTAAATAACAAACACCTTGTAAAAAGAGAACAGGGTACTGACTGATTACATAGTTTGATTTCAGAGTGTACAGGAAGGTCCTGGTTTATGGATAACATAACTATTTGAATCACTGAAGTTCTGAAAACTCAGTCACACACCATATTGAATTAATCCAAATTGGATCCTTTGGGCAAACTGAATTCATTGAGCATATACAAAAGCCTTTGCAGATTTACTTTTGAAAGCAGAAATATATATACTAAGAAAGATAGATAAAGGTATATACTTTTACATATTTTAAATTTTGCATTCTGCATGTATTTCCCTTGATAGAATGGAAGTTCCATGTGGAGAGCACTGTTCCTATTTAGTCTGTATTTCTCATTTTACCTTAAATCATGTAAAAGTTTGAATACAATTTTGATGCAACCCTATCTCCTGTAAGATAAAATTCAGACAACTTGGGGAAGGGATGATGACTGACTTTTGAAATTACAGCTATGAGTGATTCAGATGGATTTCAATAACTGTATTTTTATAGAGTAGCCTTTTTAAGAGATAGTTATTCAGAAATCTAAGAGTTGAACTAAGTGCGAGTATAACTACATCAAGGGCAATTCACATCAAACTAACTTCAAATCAGAGCAATGACAGTGATGAAATGTCCTTAAATTCCATCTAAGCACATGAAAAAATGGTTTGTGGTATTCTTGAAGAAAAATATAGAAAAAATGAGGTTAGATAGTAATTGAATTAGGTAACTTGTTGAATGAATGAAGTGATTTCAACCTGGAGAGTGGTCATGAAGGAAAAATTTCCAATTACTTGTACATGGACCTATCCTGTTTCCATTATGTCTTCAATGACTTAGACAAAGATGTGCATGGCATAATTATCAAATCTAAAAATAGGATGAACCTGGAAAGTAGAACTAACACAATGGATTTTAAAGGAAGGATTTTGGCAGGCTAAAACAATGAGTTCTAAAAAAATGCATTTTGGGGGAGAATAAGTATAATTTCTAATTTTATTTTCAACAATTCTATGAATTCTAGGTAGAGTTGTTTTGCTTGACATAATGTGAGAAAAAAGAGAAAAAAAAGATCTGATTCTGCAATCCATCTATGATGCTTACTTTCCTAAGGTAAGCAATTTATATCTCTCTGAGTCTCAGTTAATTAGTGTAAAATGAGCAGTTTAGTTTAGGTGAATGCTAATACTTCTCATTCCTCTAAATCCAATTTTCTCTGTTTCTGGGAAACCAAAAGCTTAATATATATATATATATATATATATATATATATATATATATATATGCAAGAAAAGTGATAGGACTATTATAAAGATGAGACATATCCATGAGCAAAGCCTAGAGAGATGAGGTACTATGATCTATGTCATATGAGGACTTACAAAAACAAACAAATAAACATGTAAATGTTTAGTATGGGAAGAGAAGACTATAGGAGGGTATAATTGCTGACCATTAGCTGACAATGGCTAAACGACTGTCAAATGGAAGAAAGATATTTCATTGTTTTTTCTTTGTTTTACATCTGCTTTGTCCCAGTATGGAACTGGGAACTGTAGGTGTAAGTTACCAAGAATTAGGCTCAATGGAAAAGAAAACTTTCTGATATTAGAGTCTTCACTTGTAAGCAGGATAACACATTGATAGAGGCATTGTAAAAGAATTTCCTTTTTGATTAGGGTTGAATGGCAGGGGTGTGGAATCTGCAACCTCCAGGCCACATGTAGCCTTCTAGGTCCTTGGGTGTGGCCTTTTGACCAAGTTCAAGTTTTACACAACATAATCCTTTTTATTAAGGGTATTTGTTCTGTGAGCTTTGGATTCAATCAAAGAGCTGCACTTGAGGACCTATAGGGCCACATGCGGCCTTGAGGCTACAGGTTTCCCACCCCTGGTCTATGAAGTTCATTTAAGTTCTGAGATTCTCTCAAATGCAGCGCATATTAAGATTAATGTGATTCATCATGCTCTGTTTCTTTATACAGGACACCAAAAGACAGATTGGGTCTTTGGTAACTTCTCCAATGATAAAGCCTCACAGATTTTGGGAGACAAATCCTGAATTTGGAAGAAGAGAGCAACAAGAGCTTCAGTCACAAAGCAGAAAGAACACAGCAGGTCTACTGTACTAGATTTCAAGAGCAATGGTTTGTAGGGGTTTACCCAATGACATATCAAATAGATCAAGGTGAAACCAGAGAATTGTTTTTTGCTGCCAGGTTACACAAAATGTGTCTTCATCATTTTTCTTTCTCTTCTTTGTGCTTTGAGTAGATCTCACCAACTCCAACCCACTTGCACTGACATTATAAAAATGAAAAATAATGTGACTGAATTTCTTCTTGTTGGACTGACCCAAGACCCAGCAAGAGAGAAAATAGTATTTGTCATCATCTTGATTTTCTACATTGCCACTATTTGGGGGAACCTGCTTATCATTGTCACCATTAAGAACAGTTCCTCACTTAGGTCCCCCATGTACTTCTTCCTGACCTATTTGTCTTTTTCAGATGCTTGTTTTTCCACCACCACAGCCCCAAGACTCGTAGCAGACAGTCTGCGTAGGAGGAAGAGCATCTCCTTTGATGAGTGCATGCTCCAGTTATTTACAGGACACTTCTTTGGCTGCATGGAGATTTTGGTTCTCATCTTGATGGCCTATGACCGCTATGTGGCCATCTGCAAACCTCTACACTACTTGAGTATCATGAGTAGGAAGGTATGTAGGATCTTGGTGGAATTAGCCTGGGTGGGGTCATTTGTGCATTCCATTGCCCAGCTCTTCATTGCCTTGAATTTACCCTTCTGTGGTCCCAATGTAGTCAACCACTACTTCTGTGATTTGCAACCCTTGATGAAATTGGCCTGTACTGACACATATGTGTTAAACCTCTTGGTTGTTTTTAACAGTGGAGCCATCTGCGCAGTGAGTTTTATATTGCTAATGATCTCCTACATTGTTATCTTATATTCTCTGAGAAATCAGAGTAGAGAGGGGAGGTTAAAAGCTCTTTCTACCTGCAGCTCTCACATCATTGTTGTCCTCATATTCTTTGGCCCCTGTATATTCATATACAGCAGGCCACTGACCACTTTTCCTGTGGATAAGTTGGTGGCTGTTTTTTATGCCATTGGAACTCCTTTGCTCAACCCTTTGATCTACACACTGAGGAATAAAGAAGTTAAAACTGCTATGAGGAAACTATGGAGCAGCAGGAAAACTTTACATAAAAAGTAATGTGCATAGACACCAACACTTTTTAAAAATGATTTAGTCTAACCAGGATGGATGCATTGTATATATATATATATATATATGTATGTATGTATTTTTTTTCATATTGGTGTATACAACGGGTTTACTGGGTGTTTGTGAGGACTTGTCCAAACACAGAAAGAATAGATATAGGAGAGTTGACATTTCAGCCAAGGTTGTGTATGAAAGGAAATCTGTAATCACAGGTATTAAGGTACTTAAGCCAGATCCTCTTTGATGATGATCTGCCATCAAGGCCCTGCCCTCTCTGAATCTGTGTTCCAGGACCCTGATTCTAGATACCTTCACTGTCCTTTCTACAAATGGAAAAAAAATCATATCCCCCTCTGCTTGTGGTTTAAGTCAGTCGTCTTACCTTATTCTTGGTTTATGTTTCAGTACTTAATTTCAATGACCTTGACCAAGGACCGGTTGCTTATTTTGACTGAACCTAGCCTAGAAGATTCTTGAAAGGGATATCACCCTTCCTTTAACACTATCATATGAGTTTCTTTTCTCTGAGACTATTAACTAGACACTGTCAATTGAACAACCACACACAGACAGGAATACTGAAGTTTTATTCACTTGAAATGATACATCCTCCGCCAGCAAGTGGATGAAAATGTGTATCTGTTACAAGACAGTTGGTCATATTACTTGTTACAAAATAGGTGACTATGTGAGATAAAAGAGACTTGTGTTTGTTATAATGTATCCAATATATGAGATAAAGAGGAAACACAGAAAGTCATTGAATTGGTTATAAATGAAGGAGAAAAAAGCACATAAAACTAGCTGACTTAATCCTGTAGTGAGCTTTTTTTTTTCCTTAGAGTAATTATTATGTGCTGGGGCTATACATAGTAAACAGTAAAGAAAGCAAAAAAAAAAAAAGTTGGTTAAGTCAACTCTTAAAGTTCATCTCTATGAAGACCTAGGAGTTTGAGTGAAGCAGTCTTGTTGGGTAAAGAGGGAAGTGGATGGAGCCTGCAGGAAAAAAAAAAGAGTAGCCTACAAGATTATTGGGTCTATTAGGTTTGGCCCTTCACAGCAAAGGAAATCTACCAGATCATCAATGAGCTTATCATTGCCTAGCTTACTTATGATTGATATATTCAAAGATATTTTTGGTCTTTCTACTTTGGATTGGTGTATGTGTACTTAGTGGGCATCAAAACTAGGAACAGCTAGAAAGATAGGGGAAAAAAAAACAGGTAGGAATTAAAAGCAAAAGTGTGTCCTGTCTCCACTAGTGTTGAAACACACCTCCCCAAGGCTTATGGAAGCTTTAGTGTAATTGACATGTCCCTGTTACTAGTTTTAAAGTATCATGGTGGAAGTTGAAAGCGATTATCTCAGCTTAGATAAATAATAAACAATTCTGGAGGAATTTCTTTTTTTGAGAAAGAAAGAGAGATATTAGGATAAGGAAAAAAATGACTTTGATCAGAGGAGCTCTTTCTGTGCCAGCCAGATAAGTTTCTTTTAAAAGGGTCAACAATATGTTAATTATCTGGACTCCAAGACCTGATCCTGCATGTTTTCATTGGTGTGGTCCAACAAAAGGGAAATGATAGTGACTTTGGGGAAGAAGAACCCTTCCATTATGGCTAGATTTTTTTTCTTTAATAATTGATCTAATCAATAAGCAACAGGAAGAAGTTATGCTCTGAGTATCCATAAAGATACATTCAGGAAAAAAGAGTCTTTTGTAGGAATAACTCAAAATAAAACTTTTTCTTAAATGTCTTAAAATTATAGGTTATTTCTCATTCTTAATAACAATATCAGTCCCCTTTATATGCATAAGGAACACAAAATACAACTGAAAGATATTTTTTCAACATCTCCTCATTATATGTAAAAAGGAACAAATCAACCCTCTTCCAAAAAAGAAACAATCTTTGAAAATATCTCTCCATAGGAGAAAGACAGTGGTAATGCTTGAGTTGTTTCTGTTGCAGAAGGTATTAAATTCTATTGCAGAATAACTCATTACTCTTATTTTTATTTTTTTTTCTCTCCTGAAAAATCTACTGGTATGGTTTGCATTTTGCTTCTTTTGCTCTATATCTCAAAAGAAATGGGAGGTTGATCTCATCCCTTACAAAATGTTTTCATCCTCTGAAAAGTCTGAGTGTTTGGTTCATAATTCCATGCAACATCCCACAAACCCCCATGTCTCCAAAGTTCAGATTCCTCAAAAACATGTTCTGCTCCTCTGTATGTACTAATTGTTTTTACTCAGAGCCTCCACATTCTCTAAGTGCCTTTATGTAGTAGTCTCTCAGATAGTATAGAATCCAGTAAATGAGATTGATCCAAAACCTAAAAATGACTCCTGTCTTTTCTATCTCCATATTCCAACACCAACTCCTGAAACACTCAGAGTTTTTTGCAGCCTCTTAATTATGACCATAAAGCTGAGATGCTCTAACTGCTTTCTCGATCCCAGTGTACATGGGCTATATTAAGCATGTGGTTTACATGGAGATAACATGTGTGTATTTACTAAATACATACTAAATAATGTTATATAGGTGCATGTATATATGTATATGATTAAATTTGATGCACACAAAAAAAATCAGCAAAGTGATTACTGCTACACAAAGTTGAATTTATACCAGAATTTCAGGGTTGATTCAATATTAGGAAGAAAAAACTATAAATATACTTCACCATATCAATAAAAAGAAGAATAACAACAAATGAGAAAAAAACATGCATTTATATTAATAGATACAGAAAAAATATCAACAAAATGCAACACTAATTTTAAAATGAAAATATCAGAAAACTAAAATAAATGGTCCTTTGTTTAATATGATAGAAAGGTAAAACCTTTGTAAAACCAAGACTCAGTATTATACATAATGGAGACAAACTAGAAGTTTTTCCAACAAATCAGTGGTAAAAAATAGCTGCCCATTTCCTCTAATATTATTGATGTAATAATAGAAATGTAACTACAGCAATACAAGAAAAAAATGAAGAAATCATCATAAGTAAAGAAGAAAGAAAATATTCACTTTATTCAGATGATATGATGGTTTATTTGGAGAACCCTAGAGAGACAACAAAAAATGAAAGAATTAACAACTTGAACGAAGTCACAGGGTATAAAATAATTCCACATAAATCATCAGCATTTCTGCATATTTTCAGCAAAATAAAGCAGGAGGAGAAAAAAGATGAATTTCATTTAAAATGACTTCATAAGATAAAATGCTTGTGAGTCTACCTTTTCAAGACACATTACAGAAATATAGGAACACAACTACAAAATACACTTTACAAAAATAAATAGTTTGATAATGAATGAAATGGTAATTGCTTTTGGGAGACCAAGAGAATATAATAAAAAATATTACCTAAATCAACTTATTTATTCTATGGAAACAATAAACACAATTCAACTGGTGGAAAAGGTTAGAAATCTTAAGGAAAAAAGGTACTAGAGGGATACAAAATTTCCATTTATACTCCAAAGCAGTAATAATCTCATAAAAGCAATTAGATGCTCAAGAGAGAGGTTGATCAATGGAATACATAAATTAAAGAAGAAAATGAGCCCAGTTTTTGTAAACCCAAATATCCAGGCTGTTGTGATAAAAATTCAGTATCTGACAAAAAAAACCTGCTGGGAAAACTGGAAAGCTGTCTGGCAGATATTAGGTACAGACCAGCAAGATAAGCTTCTGATAGATTCAGAACTTTGATGTAAAGAGTGACAACATAAAGAAATTAGAGAAACAAGGAGAAAATATTTGAGATCTTTACATGAGAAGAGTTTATAGACAAACAAAAGATAAAGAAAAACACACAGGGCACAATGAATAATTTACATTACATATTTTTCTAAAGTTTCACACAAAGAAAACAAGTCCAGGAGGCAATATTAGAAGAGAAGCAGCAAACCAAGGAAATATTTATATTTCCCCCCTGGTAACTGTACAAATTTAGAAAAGAGGTGATTCTGGGGATAGAGCTTTGAGACTAGAGTCAGAAAGACTTGAGTTTAAATTCTGGCTCAGATACTTCTTAGCTTAATCTCTGTTTTCTTCAGTTTCCTTAACTGAAAAGGGGGATAATAATAGTTCTTATCTCCTAGGATTATTGTGAAAATCAAATGAGATAATTGTTGTAAAACATTTTAAACAAATATACTAGGAACTCTAAAAATGTTATCATCATCATCATCATCATCATCATCAGTAGTAGTAGTTCTGGTAGTACTAATATAGATATATAAGGAACTTACTCAAATTTATGTGAATGAGAATTATTCCCCAATTAATACAAAATGAAAATAATTAATGGCAGTTTTCAGAGGCAACAATCCAAACTATCAGTATAGATAAGAAAAAAAATGCCCCAAATCAGCAATATTTAAGGACTCAAAAAAACCCAACTCTGAGGCTCCACCTCACTCCCTTTGGAGTGACAAAATTTGACAAACATTTGAAAATAAGAAATGCAGGAAGGACAAGGGAAAAAATTACATCAGTTCTATTTTGGGAGAAATGTATACTGGTCCAGTCATTCTGGATATCAATTTGGAACTGTGCCCCCAAAGTTATTAAAAAATATCTACTCTTTGAAAAAGTATTTCTCAATTTGTGCCCTAAATTGATCAAATAAAATGGGAAAAAGACACATACATATATGTGTGTATACAAAAATACGTGTGAACACACATACACATGAATGCACATAGTATATGACAGCTCTTTCATGGTCACAAGGAACTGTAAATTAAAAGGATTTGTATCCAACAATTGGGGAATGGATAAAAAAAACATAGTATATAATTGGGATGGAATTGTTTAATCTATAGGAAATGAAGAGGACAATTTCAGAGAAATCTGTGAAGACTACTATGAACTGATACAGAGTGAGGTGATCAGAACCAAGAGAATGATTTGTATAATCAAAATAACATTCTAATGAAAAACAACATTGTAATGACAAAATGA